GCTAAATGTGAGTGAAACTGTTGAGGCTTTTTATTTGAGTCTGTTTTAAATGAGTAAGTATATTTTTTTAAGCTTTGCAAATAAAATTTTATAGGATTTGTAAAAAAATTCAGTTAAAAATGCTGAAGCTGAAATAGTTTTATTAAGAGAGAGTCTTGTTATTGCTATTAACATGAATGACTGTCCCTCTGAGTAGATTAAATACAAGGGTGACTCATATTGGATCTATCGTATTCTTGGGACTAATACCTACAACAACAAAAAAAATACACATCGAATGTCAAGAAATGTTATGGTGTTCTGGAAGTATATTTGATGGTTTGTATATATGGAACTATAGGTAACAGCAAAGGAGGAGATAATTAAAAACTGTTCATGCTGAACGCACCTTAAGGCTAACTATATACGACTATCTAAGACTCTCAGAGTTAATGGCGAAAAAATTTAAATTAATGTAGGTATATCGTATATATCTAATATTAGATACAAGTTTTGGCTTTGTTACTTTAGTAGAAGCCTATTATGCAATATGTAGAAGGAGATAGCAAAATGTAAGATAGTATGATATAGACCCGCACTCATTAGATCACGTGGGACTGTCCGACCCACTGGTGCTAATAAGGAAATATAGAGCAATAAAAGAGGCCGGTGGCGAGCCGACTTAATCAAATTGTCCGAATGACCGATGGGAGTTGCTTGTTTGATGTTACCGACATTAACATAATTAAGGTACAATACTGTTTTAAGTAGGCAACTATTTAATTTTATTGACTTGGGTTATCAACCTAATACAGACAGGGGGTTATATTTTATTTCAACACGAGCTACGCCCGTGCACCGGAATATTTTAGTAGAGTTTTCTATTTCTCTATAAAATGAATGAAGTTAACGATTTAAAAAAGAAAGATGTTAACCTCGAATCAAAAAACAGACGAATGAACGAATCGAGCGAACAGACAGGAATATTTTTCTTAGGCTATACCTATTCTTCAGATGTTTAAATCCAAAGTGTTAAAGTTGCAAGGACTGCGGTGCACTCATAAAATTTATAGGTTATGATACCATTTCTCTTTGGGAAGCTTAGCTATGTAGACACCGTGTAAACTAGGCAAGCGGTTTTTGCATTTTATGGCATAACAAGTAATAAAATAATGGATGTCTCACCAGTATCAATAAAGACTACAAATACTATAGAGAATGGATAAGAGACATATACCTTCATGGCATCCCTATCCATAACCTTGTCCCGTTATCTAAAAACAAAGATCTCATCAAAAATTCAGCATGTGACTCTCGAGATGTATCCAATAAATCAGTTTTACAGCATTCCCGTGTCATTTCAGTCGTCGAACGGCATAAAATGATAATTTTACTGCTCTCCCCTTCCGACTCCAGGAGTTTACGACAATTGTGAAATGTATCGACAGTTCGGGTGTCACCTAGATGGTCGACCAACATTGGCTCGAATATGTACACTTTAAAATTTCATTTCTGCAAAGGCGTAAAACTCAAATTCGCTTAAATTTGAAAACTCTAGCGGCAAATACGATTCTTACCAATAAGAAACATATGGTACCTGTCTACCGCCCCCTCTCCCTCAGGTCTCCTCTCTAACTGATATTTTGAGCAGCGAGTCATCAATCTTTCAGGTGGCTCTACTGTTTAAATATAATGGAGAATCATCTGGATTACAGAACAGATATTTATAGAACTACGATCCACTGAGCGAGTGAGTTTTTGTTTATTTAAGTCGACAGAATGAAAATACAGTTTAACATCAGCTTTGTGTAGAAGAGAACTTCTGCGTAGATAATTATTTATCAAGTTTCCATTGAGGAATATTATATAACATATGAGTAGGTATTTCCAAGCGTGGGATACTTTTTGATAAGTTTGTCGGCCTAAATAAAATTGTATACTTAGATAGCATGCCATGGCAGGTTGATATCTTTCTCACAAAAATACAATAAATGACTAAGAAATGACATTAAAAGTAAATCATCTTAAAACTGAGTATTATGAGTGACATTTCTTTTCTAATCGACCAAGGTCGTTCTTCAGTTGATAGATTCCATTTCGTCAAGAAAGATGCCATTGTAGTGAAACACCAATTCACCGCAATGATCACACTAAACAACAAAACCATTTTAAGTATCAATAGAATATTTAGTGTTGTTGGTATTCATACAAGTCAACCCTTTTCGGCGCAAACATTCATTATAAAAGCAAGCAATAAAATTTAGCGAACAATACTCAATTACCATTTATTTATAGGTTCAGATTAACAAAGGCGTAATGATTAAACACAGTCAACAGAACGAATTATGTTTGTATAATTTATGCAAATTTCTTTTGTAGGAAAAATTAAGAAGATTTTTTGGCCTTTTGTGTACCTATTGGTATCATTGTTATTTAAGACAGTACTTTATTGGTGTCCATGTTTAGGTTAAACAATATTAAAATGGCCTTTCTAATTTTAAAAACCCAAGGAATTCTTCAGAATTAGGTATTCAAAAACTGATTACCAAGTCATTTTCACAATTAGGTATTAGTACAGACTTTGTAAAAATCAATTTACTAATAAGATAACTGGCAGGTTATACCTACTTTATTTTAAAAATAAACTCAAATATGTACTACGAAGAATATAAATTTCTAACATCAAATTTTAATCCAATTTTTTATGCAATCAATATCATATTCATGATTAATTGAAAATTGGATTTCAAATCTGGACTGACACCCAAAGAAACGTTTGATAGGCATTAAATTGCATCAGCAGATGAAGGCCCTTCTAAAGCCGGTAATTTGAAGCGAGATTGGCTTTCGCCGGTGAAGGACTCTATTGTCGCCCTTTGAGGAAGAAAAGCAGCAGTTAAAACTTCAATCAAAGGGAGTTGACGAATTACAATGATTGGTTCAGGAAGCGTTTACTAGATAATACTGAAGCAACTCCATGTGAGCTGAAAATTTTTGTGCTATGTTAAGCCTCGGACAGAATGGTGGCACATAATAAATAAGTTTCTTGAATTTATGAATAGTATTCAGAGGTGCGAAGTGCTAGTTGAGAGTTTGGCTGTTCTAAGGTGAGTCAACGTAGGCGTTGACTCACCTTAGAACTAAGCCAGCCTAGCCAAGCCCACCTTAGAACTAGCCGAGCCAAAGCCTAGTGATTAAGAGGTACCGGGTGATTCTAATTACCAATTTTTAATAGGATTTTTTTTTAAATATTTATATCGTTAACCGCAACCAAGATATAAATATCGTTACCCGCTACCAAAATTTTCTGTAGAATTCTGTGCAAGTTCAACAATTTAAAGTCACACTCTAGACCTTATTACATTATCTACCTTATTACTAAGTCTACAACGCTAATTTAAATCTAATAATTGGAAGTGAATTTTATTTATTTTTTACAACAAGTAAATACTTATAGCTATAAGTACTATTGAGGACTCGCTAAGCCATTTTGTTTACAAAATAATAAAAGGACAATTCCAACGGAACCTCTCAGACATTGTAACCTATCTAAGTGTATGTGACTAGTCTAAGCAAAATGGCATGTTCTTGTAGTTTTATCGCTTGACAGTCACCTCTGTGTTGACCCAAGCAGAGTCTACGTAAAGTGTAGTGCGACAATAGCAGGGTTTACTACATCTCGTTTCACTTTTAACGCTATAAACTACACTATAAAATGGTCGCACCACCGCTGGCATCATCGAACGTTTAACTACTTACTGATGTTCCATTATTGCTTTTTTATTTCTATTTTCTTTTTTTTCAACTGACCGTTTAGGTTTTGCTTTTGATTGTGGTCGCGATAGTTGCTGCCAGACTTTAATTAACTGAACAAAATGTTTGCGTGTCAGCAGGAATTTGTACTTACCTAATGATATTTTTTTTAATGGATTCTTATTCCAATTTATTTATTGGATATGTTTACTATTATTTATATTTTTTACGATTTCAAACGTTGATAAAAAATGCGTATAACCTATAAGATTGTTTATGATAATCTTTACTTTTCTTAAATATCTAATCCCTCCAAATTCAATTTAGTTACAAACATAAAATCCAAGTATTTTAGATATTCCCAAAACTCGCTTCAAGTGCAATTAAACCTCATTTCTGAACATAGTTAAGAAGAGGAGGTTCTCCTAATGACGGGGATTAAGACGTAAAGATAGGGCAGATACGCCATTACGGGGCCCCAACATCATGCATCTATGGATGGCGGTCGCTCATTAGGGAAATACGCCCCATGACTCGGTTAATGACGCGACCCTAATGGAACAACGCAGTACCTACTTATGTAAATTGAAGATACGCGATAACATCGGTATATAGACGTTTGATTTATAAAATAGTTTCATTCGCTTCTTAAATTTTTTTAAAAATAAGTAGGCAATGAACATGAAGTTACTTTTTAGAATTAGTAGTTGAAGAAATAACTGTTAGGTAACTACAAAGTACAATAATCAAGTACCTACTTATCTGTAGTATATTAATAAAAATATTAAAAAGGAACATTCTTCTAAAATGTATCTACCTATATCAAGAGGAATATGAGAATGACATGTTTACGTACTTATCTATAACTAAATTAACTATGTAAATCGGGCAAGTTGCAAAAGCAATTCAGCTCTGAATGTTTCAAAAAGTACTTGGGTACCTAGTTGTATTTCAATACAACTAATAAAACATTCAAAATTATGTACTATCTATTTAATGATAATAACTTGTAGTTTAATTACCAACTCTATAAAAGCTATTAACAAGAAATTATACAAACTTATATTTATTATCTGTCTCATTTTAAGACTTATAATTTGTCAAGTTTATTTAGAAACTGACAATCTGTTTGGACTATAAATAAATAACAAAAGATAAAAGTACATTAACTTAGAAATTATTGTGTAAACAACAATGTGAGAATCATAATTAGGTACAGAGAGACTATTGTTACGTTAGTGTGAGTCGTGTGCGCTACAGCGTTGAGGTCACGCACACAGAGAGTCGCGGCCGATCGTGAGCGAGTATGGATTAGCGCGGCCTGCCGCCCGAGCGAACGTCACAAAATGGCGGCTGTAAAAACAAGTGAAGAGTGAGTTACGGTCGGACGCGCGGGCCGGGGGCTGGAGGGGAAGACCGGTCGACCAATGAGGGCGCGCTGAGCGAGCACCGGACAATTCGCCCGCCAACTCTGCTCTTTCTTTTATAGCCGACGTTGTTTTTCTCTGGCGCGCTTTTTCCTGATTTTTTTTTGCGGGAAATTGTTTTGTTTGCTTTGCAAGACAAGCTACAATGTACATTAAAGTGGTTTCCCCGTGTTTTGTGTCTAAATGGACTATATTTTCTTTGATGCGAAACACTGTTTTCATGTTAAAAGATAAGGCATCCTTGTAAGATTATGATAAAAGTTTCATCGTAAGGTTTTTTATTTTGAAAGTTCTCTACTGCCTTTGCAAAAATAAGTTAAATTTGACTAATGTCTAAATACCTATATAAATACAGTTTCAAGTAGTCCAGATTAAATTCCTGTTTGGATACCTTTTAGTAAAGATTATTTTGTACTAAATAGGAGAGAAATTGCCGTCGGCAAAGTTGTTCGTGTCTATAACTTTTGGAGGTAGATATATCTAGGTACCTCGGTTTTTATGTACCTAGATAAATATATCTAAAAAAATGGTATATGTAGGCAAGGATACATTATTTCTTTAAGTAGGTAGGTATGTCGTAGGTAGGTAGGTCGAAATTGAACTAGGTAACTATAGGTAGGTTCATATTTAATTATGGTAGATAATGATTATGTTGAAAGACACAAAATGTGTAGGCTAATTATGTTTAAAAAACATAAATGTACATATTAGGTATTTTAAAAAGTAAGTAGGTAGGTACAGATCAACCCACTTCCATCACCATCCAGCAGTCGCGCGGTTACAATCATTGTATTCATTGGAATTTAAACGTTTACAAAACAAAAACAAAGTCATACCAAAAATAAAAGAAGACATCTCCTTTAATCCTGGTGGGCAATAAAAACTAAAAAGTTATTAGTTGGAGCGGGGAACTCATCGGGAAAACTTGCTGCGTAATAATTTACTTAAGACACGCTGCGTCTTAACGTCGCATAATATCCTACACTGACATATTTATTGTTTTCGTGGGGCGGGGGCCGCTTCTTCGAAGGGGAGCGGTGCACGATCTACACCCTGTTTTGTCCCTTAGTGGGGGATGTTACAAAACACAATGTAGATCAAATATTTTGATACTCGCTTAAAAATAAATGTCTTCCAAAAAAATTAACACGTTTTTAAATTAAGAACTTTGACCAGATTAAAAAAGTTAACAAGACGGTGCGTGTAAGATATTAAGTCTTTACCTGAATTTTGTTTGGGTGTATAATTTTCACAAATGTCTGTCTGTCTATACCAATTTCGTAGAATCTTTATGTGTGTTGATATTATCTTATCTCGAAATGGACAACTTTATTAAGTTGTGGTAGGTACATTTCCGTTTAAATTTTTGTGATAATTACAGCTGTCAGAATTTATGGTTATCCCTTAAGAAAAAGGAATTATATTTTTATCTGTGGATTGCACCGAATGCTTGGAATATTTTTACTGTTACTAATTGGAGGTCTGGCAAAATATTGGCAAAAGACAACTAACCACCCAATTAGGTACAAAAGAAACAATTGTAAGCCAGGTCGTATCTATGTTTTTAATTTCCAGCTGTATCTAGATATGACTACTGCGGGGAATTCATAAATATTATATTAGGATTTTTAGTTTCATTAAAAAATACCTACTTTAAATTAGTTAACTGAGGATAAAATTAGAAGATAGGTACCTAGTTAGGCACTACTATGCATGATCATTAATATAATTTTACAGTATTTTTTTTAAACTGTGAGAAAAGCAAAAAAGTAAAATTACCCATTTTTAATTCATTGTTATTTCTTTTATAATTGCGTTCAAATTTTCGGTTTGCTATCTAATTGTACCCAGGTACTTACTTAATTATTATTTTTTTGTAAGTTAATTCTTATATGTTTTTTTAATATTATTATTTAAAAAAAATCAGCAAATAAATAAAGTAGAAAACTGCAGAAATAGAGAAGTATCTTAACACAATATACGATGATCAAGGCAGTATCAGCTTTGTCAGTAGGTATGTATTACAAATGTTCTATTTTATCTTTGTATTATTGGTATATCAACGAACCATCTTTCTCTCATCATCTCATAACACTTTTGAATAGGTAGATAAGCCATTGGCGTATTACAATTCTATGTTTGAGTGTGGTCACGGATGTAAATAGATATAAATTAAACTCTATCTATTTACCTATATGCACATTTTCTTTTTATCTTCTAGGCATATACCTGGAAGATAAAGAGAAAATGTATAATACTAACATAAGAACTGTAAATACCTATCTAATTTGTAGCGTAGGTCTACCACACCTACAATACCTAGGTACTAACGTTCATGACAGTGCTTATATCGTAGAAATTATATTATATCTAGCCTATACCTATTATAAATAGGTATTTAATGTAGGTGTCTAAATACTAATATTAAATGGATAATTATAATTTTGGAAGAACCGCGAATAGGTAGGTCGGCTCGATCGGAGCAGTACCACAGAAACTTTACAGAAAACCAGGGTTAAGTAATTTTTCATGAAGTGAGTGAGTGAGGAATCTAATTCTTCACTCAAAGGTCGCCAACTTACTTATGTTTCTTGTGTTGCAAGGTCCATGACCGCTGGTAGTCCCTTACCATCAGATGACCAGTTTGCTCGTTTGTTCCCGTATATCAAACACTGGCTTAGGATCAATTCGGATCGATCTTACTCGGAAATTAATCCCATGATCTTACTCGGAATTAAATTCCGAATAAGATCATGGGATTAATTCCCCAAAAATACCGTCGCATTTCAACGCAATAAATTCAAGTCAAGTTTAATTAAAATGGCGATTTATATAGGGACTAAAATCTTTTAGATGTCATGTACTAAGTACTACTAACAGAATTGTTACACATTTAAAATATCGTTGAAAGTTTGTTAAACACGGGGCGACGTTTTATGAAAAGGTGTGGATATAAATGCATTTGTGTACGTTTAAGGGTGTGTTTATACAGGCGTGTGTCAGCTGCAATGTAAAAATTAAAAGCGACCACGAATAATTTGTTGTAGGGATGTCAGGAGGTAAACACTATTTAGTACTAGGTAGTACTAAAGAGTGTTACTAAAGACTGTAGGTATTGAAATTAATAGGTTCCTACAAACAACAATCACCTAGGTAGGTATCTGTGCTCGAAGTGGCTTTACGCTAAACTAACGATCGTTTTTCACTCATATACCTATATTTTTATGATGTGAAACATTTAATGTATCGCGTCACAACGATATACGTCGTCACTCTATGTGATAGTAAGTTATATGTAACATGTAATATCGTCATGAGCAAGTGGCTCTGTAACTCTCTTCACACCTAATTTTTTGTACTCAATTTATATAAATAAATATTATATAAACAATCATCTTTCTCTTTAAAAATAAATGAATATTAATGTTTAACTGTACCTACTGTATTTATTATTTATTTTTATTAGTTATCCTTCTATACTCATTTTTTTAAACTTATGCTAATTACAATGTTTCACATCCCGCGACGACTCAGTTTTTAAATTACAAATTGTCTTGTCTTTCTATAATTAAATAGGTATCATGAAAATGTCTTATAAGTAGGTACTTATGTAGATATCAGTTCGAAATAAAATAGTGTTTCTTTCTATCTTCATTTTCTATTTAAGTAATATTTTTTAGTTTAGAATTAAATGTTTATTAATTTAGTTTACAATTTGTACACAAAATTCTTAGCAGTTTTCTTTCTACAATGTTCTTTCTACAAATTAAAAGAAGCCAATTATTTCTAATAGGTACATAAGTAAATCATCTATAAGAGCATAATCGTGGAGGCACTTATGAAAATATCTGAACATTATTTTCGGGAATATCAAATTAAAATTCTTGCAGTCATTATCTCTTAAACTTTGAGTAATCTTAGGAAATGAAGCTGTGTGTATCTGGCAGCCCTGGCACCGGTGGTGTGGGGCGTCGAGGTCGTCGACCGGCCGCCCGCGCTGCTTTGAAATATCGCTTGCAATATCTCGCTCGGCTTAATCCAACGCGCCTTACGCCTGACCTAACCTTTATAAACGTACATATTAAGACCAGTTAATATCTGGAATATATAAGCTATATTTGAGTATTAACCGTTTCTATATCCCTTAATCTTTAGATATTACAGACAGTATCACTGACCGAAAGCAGATAGCGTAATGGTTGTACGTTATTGTCACAAAACAATTTAAGTGATAATACTGCTTAGAAAATTTGAAGACAATACGCGCAATATCTACTTTCCATTGTTTTATTTATTAGACAGAACATTATTTAATAATGACTCAGGTGATTACTTTCAAATTACCTACGTACAAATTACAACGTGAAAGTGAGCTTTCATTTGTGGAGTAGGTACAAATGCCATTTATGAGAAGTCATGTCTATAAAAATATAAAATAATGGAATACTCTATTATTAAGATATATTGAAGCTTTGTGGTTGTTCCATTATTAAAGAAGGAATTTCAAGGCAAAAATATCCGCAAGGATCCGTGTTGCAGAATTTAATTAGATAGCTTAATAATTTTTATGAAGTATCTAATAAAATGCTGCATTGCAAAATGATTTAATGCTGACTTTGTGTTGAATCGACCTTCCTGAGTTGTTAGTTAGTAAGGTCGAAACCACAACCATAATTACTCGAACAATAATGCTGTTTTGTTGTAGACAGGTGTGTTTATAGAAAACGAAACTGAAGTATGTACGAGGTGTTGGCTACATAATCTATCTAAGCACAAGTCTCAAGTCACAAGTCAATGCAGGGTCTGTTTTGTCATTACGTTGACAATGAACATGCAGTATGCGTTTCCAAGTCTGTTTAAGACTTAAGGTGTTGTAAGCTACCTATATTTGAATAACCACAAGAGTAATAGGGCGCCGCGTCATCGTGGCACAAGCACAAAGTAGGTTGCAGGAATTGCTACGAGCACGTTTGAATTAAGACGTTTTGCAAACCACAAGAAATACTGAACCGGACTCGGTCGTTCGTTATATTTACATAGCTACTAGCCTATAAATAAATACCGGCCCTCTCTCACACACGTGCACAAAGTGACGTTGTTTTAACTTTATTTTATTTTTAAACGCGCGAGCGGCCGAGCGCGCGCCGCCTGTAATTTCGCGGTGGTCGCGGCGCGCAGGCGTTTACGCACGCCGGACCAAGATGGCGGCGGACTCGTTTTAA